GAGTCCGCTGCAGACTGACTTGCGTCTCCCGAGGTCCCGTCATTGCAGGCCGACGCCGCCCAGGCAACCAGCAGTTTGCAAAGCATCAAGCTGACAGCGCCCCTCCTTGTAAGAACCCTTGCAGATCCTGAAGGCCGAGCGCCTCGCGCAACTTCAGCAAGTCAACAGGGAGCACCAGGACCCGTGCCCTGCCCCGCTATCAACTTGCATGGAGGGCGCCTGCACGGAGGAGAAGCTCCGGCAATTAGAGGCAGACTTCGCACACCGCTGCGAAGAGCGCACACAGCAGCTCACGGCGGAGCTCGAAAGGACCGTGAAATTCCTCGTCTCGATTGCTGGTGTAGTATAGTGCAACTCCCCTTTCGGGAGCGTGTTCCGAATTTTGACATACAGGAAGAGTCGAACAGAGGCGGAAAGACAGGTGTGGCATGCGCACTCGGACTAGAAAATCCTCATGCTCGTGACACCGCCGGGTGTGAAGGTGGAGGAGAAGACGCGCCGCTTGTGTGAGCAGTTGGAGAAGGAGAAGCCTCCCAGCTGGACAGATGTTGCTGATGTATAGCTATAGTCCAGTTATGGTTCTCCTTATTGTATCTCGCAAAATTTGAGATCGCCCGGGTCCATCTTGCAGGGCCTTATAAACACAGGATTTTGTCACTTTGTCTTTGTCACTCCGACTGTGTCCTCATGCTCGAATCGGGAGGATTGCGATTAGAGCCAACAGAGCCAACACCGGAGCACCTTCGAGTGCAGAGAATAATTTATTGAGGACAAGAGCCATCATTGCGGGTGGATTGTTCAGGTCGGCGTCCCGGCCGACAGCTGCAGTACAGCAAACACTACACTAAAGCACCGACAAGGCATTTTACAACTGCTTGGCAAAAGGTCGTAGCTCACTTCCGGCAAATAGTGTCTTTGGTGTTTCTGTTCGGTCTTGTCAGTACTTCCGGGCACATGCCGCCAAAACGCTAGTCATTGTCAATGGTTTGTCGGTGCGGTCTTGTCAGCACACTCGCAGGGTTTGCCAGTCATTCCATGAATAACTATTGCCTGTCGGAGGGGCACGTATGAGCAATTTAGTTGCCTTTGCCTGCTACCCTAAGCTGTGGTGGTGTCTGTGCGAACGAGGATGAACGAGGAAAACATCGGGGTTTTGCGGTTTGAGGCCTTTGGTAGGCGGATGTAGGCGGTTTGCTGCTTAAGAATTTGTGTTTTGTTCTGGGGTGTGGCCTGCAAGTTTTGTGAAGTTTGGGCTGAGTTTTGACCGAAAGTCTGGTGTACCTGGCACGGAACTTGAATCTGGTTAGTGTCATCGCTGCTGAGGCTATTGCAGATGGAAAAAGAAGTTCAGGAGAAGTTGCGCCCATCATCCACAGTTCTCGAGCGGGAAGCGCGGGCCGTGCTTGAGAAGGAGGCCAGCTGGAAGCCTTGAGAGGTGATGTGCCATGATCCTCCCCATTCATTCGGCGTTGTGACGATGTAAAGCGAGCTAGTTAGCCAAGTATGGACCAGTATGGAGGCCGAGGAGCGTGTCAGAAGCTCGATCCCAGAGTTCGAGCGGGCGGTGAAGGACGGGCACCAGATGAAATGTTGCTCTTGTAGAATGTTTCCTTTCCGATGCAACCCGTTCGCGCGGATCCTTTGCAGGAGCGGCTGGAAAGAGACGTGGAAGCAAAGGCTTGGATCTAAGCTTTGGGCTCGAAGCGAGAATTGACAAAGTACCTCCGTAAACTCTGAAGTCCGGCGCAACTCGCCATGCCCAGAGAATTGGCTGAGTTGCTAATCCAATAAAGCAAACGATAGTAGACATGAGTGAATGCAGGTGGCATTTGGAATGCCACGAGCGTGCTCCACCCGACAATCACCCACCTTTTCGGTAGTTATGTCCGAAATCAGTGCGCTCTAATTCTAATACTATACTATACTATACTATACTCTACTATAATACTATAGTATACTACCAACTTGCCGAAGCCACACAAAGTGTTTTAGATGCCGGGCACCTCGACCGGCTCTGCAGCTGCAAGGTGTTTTCACTGTTAAAGTGGCGCCAAAGCCACGGAGAAATCCAATGGGCCACTGGGCGCCCATCCTGAATCGTCTTGCCTGCTGAATCAATCGGGCTAGCCCCGGGTACTAAGGACCCAAATCGGAATTCAGAATCCGCGAGCCATTTGGGCAAAACTCGTGTCCGCTTTGCATCTCGACTCAGCATGGACATGTGGTATCGGATTGGTGAACGCTCCTGCGGTTTATGTCGAAGAGTCTTCGCCCTTGCGCCGGCCCGTGTTGTTCTTGTTCTTGGCGTTGTGGTCCTTCTGGTTGTGGTTGCCTTTGTCGTCTTCGTTGTTGTTGTTCTTGCTGCTGCTGCTGCTGCTGCTGCTGTTTCTGCTGCCTCTGCTGTTGCGGTGGTGGTGGTGGTGGTGGCGGCGGTGGCGGTGGCGGTGGCGGTGGCGGTGGCGGTGGCGGTGGCGGTGGCGGTGGTGGTGGTAGTAGTAGTAGCAGTAGCAGTAGTAGTCGTAGTAGTAGTAGTAGTAGTTGTTGTTGTTGTTGTGGTGGTCGTCGTCGTCGTCTCTCGACCACTGTAGGCTTTCTTGGTCTTACAGTTGCGGGCCAGCCACACCCGCACAGAGACTTCCGTCCTTCTCGCAGAGACGCTCGCCAAATCGAGCCTCCACTTGGCGAACGTCGGTGGTCGGTGTTGATGCGTGGACCGAGCATCCAGACAGCTGCGGTAATGTTGTCATGAGGTGATCGAATCGCACCGGAGCATCGCACAGCCCCGTTTGGACTAAACTGACTGTTGCCATCTGTTGCCCTCCCGCGGCAATAGCTCAAAAACAGATCTCCGAGATATTGACAAGTTTCTGATTCTGCATCTGCAGTTGAAGTAAGTGGTAGCGGTATCTGTCCCGCCCACTGCTCGCTCAAGACTCAATTCAAGGACTGCACAAAAACAAGGCCTGAAGAGAACAGTCAGCACGGCCTTAGACGAGGCTCCACAGGGGGACACTCGCCCTCGATGTGACAAGTGGGAAGAGCGGGGCTCAAGGGAAATGGAAAAGTTTCCTAGCCAGAAGGTCGTACCCCGCTGGCCGTACCAACAAAGAGAACAGCATGTACGGTAGGAACATCACCAGACCCAATTCCGATAGGAAGATTTAGGGACTCAACTCTTCTCCGGCATACTGGGTGGACTTTTCAAATTGGAGGGACTGCAAGGGTGGACCCAGTAGGTTATGATGCGAGTTCATGGTGCATTTCTGCCCTCAGAGAAGCTGAAGTGCTGATTCCAGGTCCGGGCTTCCCTGCCACAGCTCGAGTTGCGCCTTCGGCAGGTGCCCAGCATTTGCTGTCTGAGGCGTCGCATGTGGTCGCTGAACGGTCCCTGAATCTTTCGTCGCGGCTCTTCTCACGCCAGGAGCTAGAAGCAGATGCTCTCAAGCGCGTTTCGGCGGATCGACATCAGATTGCTCCCTGGCTTCGACTCAGATGCTGCGGGCACTTCCGCCAGCTTTCCAGGGCTCTGACGGCCTGGCATCCTCTGCTCTTTTGTGCAAGACATGTGAAGCATAAGGAAGAGGCAGCAAGGAGGCGGCTTGAGCAGGAAGCTGAAGACAAAGCCAGGTCCGGGTCTTGCGAACTGCATGATGCAGAGTTTCGCAGCAGCTGTTGCTGGGAATGGGAAACAACATGCATCTCCAAAGAGATGTACAACGGCATGCATGTTGCGTGTCTTTGACAGGAGAGGTCTTCCAGACATGGAAAGAACCGCGCGGGAGAAGCTCCAGAAACAGGCGAGATCTGGACCGGACTTCTCCTTGTGCAGTCTCGGGTACTTGTTGACGAGCTATCGCTTGTATTTGCCTACATTGGGGCGATGTGTCACTGCAAGCTTTGGGCAAGGCAGAGGTTGATTGTGCCTGAAGGCTGAAGACACGGCCGCGGCCATCGACAAGGTCGCTATTGCGGCCGAGGCACGGCCTTTTCACAAGAGAGTCTGCGAGTATTCGATCAGATGATGCCCATCAACCGGTGCAGCACCTAGGAGAAGGTACGGGCAACCGCCTCCAGCATTGAGGCTGAGATCCGAGAGCTCTTGGCCGGCAGAGACCACTACTCCGGTTTCCATGTAGATGTGGTCAGCTCTCCCGGTTTGCAGGTCCCAAACCCTGTCGAGAGTTCCTTCTGAGGATCCTACCCTGTAAAGTTTATAGACAGCCTGGAGGGGTTTCAGTAACCTTAAACCCTAAAAGTAAAGTGGGAGGGAAAAAACCCCATAAGTTCCTCGGTTTCGGAAGCTCGGCGAAAAGCCCAGGCGTTTGCGGAGAGAGTCGGAAGACCGAAAGGTTGAGCTCCCTGTGCCTTGGAGAAACCTTGGAAGCTATGATCCTTTAGGTGACAGATATAGACACACACACATATATATATATATACACGTACATACATACATACATACATATAAAGGTATGTACATACTAATACATATACCTCCCTACCTACCTACCTACCTGCCTGCCTGCCTGCCTGCCTGCCTACCTACCTACCTACCTACCTACCTGCCTCCCTACCTCCCTACCCACCTACCCACCTACCCACCTACTTTCCTACCTACCTACCTACCTACCTACCTCCCTGCATGCATGCATACATACATACATACATACATACATATTATTATTATTAATGTTAATGTATTTGAACATATATTAAATTATACATACGTATATAACATAAATATAAATGCAACGAATATAAATTAAAAAAAGTAAAGTAAAAATATACATATATATATATAGACTAATATGTATATATATATAGATATATACATTCATTAGTTAATATTAATATACGTGAATTTCAATATCAACATCTATATATATATATATGTATATACGAATACGATATATGGTACGATACGTGGCCCATATGGCATTTTAGGCATGTGCATATGCGTACACGTACATATACACACCTACCTACCTGCGTCCATGCATACATCCATCACTACATACTTACATACGTACTTGTGTACCTGCATACATGCATACATACGTACTTACATGCATGTATGCATACATACATAGGTATGTTTGTTTCTTGCTTCAGGTCGGGAAGGATCTCGATCCGTTTGCCCGACCGAGCTTTTAATGTATGCGTATGAACGGAAATATACAAAGCGATGTTTTTATAAGCAAAATGTTGAAGATATTTACACTTTTGTTTAGAACCGCACGCGCGCACACACACAAGGCATTCCTTCGTTTCTTCCCTCATTCATTCCTTCTTCTCCCTGTTTAAACCCATTATGGCTTGGCAGCATATGGCCTCGGGGTAGAAGACAGCCCATCTTTGAGTCTTTTTTCTTGTTTTCGGCGAATCCACATGGCAAGCAAATCAATCCTAAGCGGCTGCTTTCGAGCTCCCAGCGGACTTGCGAGGTCCTGGACCGAGAGGAACGCGAGCGAATTCGCAAGGACGTCGAACAGCGTGAGGCTCGGCTGGCTCAATTCGAATCTTTACGTAGGGTCTCAAGGCGGCTCAGAGCTGAAGGCATGATGCGGATCCAATTCGGAAGCAATCCCTGCAGGGGCCATATCATATCGCTCTAGGCCTCCACGTTCAGATCTACTGGAGGTGTGTTTCAGTCCGAGAGGACGCGACTAGATGCGAATACTTGTTGCAATCTTCTTTTCTGGGTTGAATAAGCTCCGGACCTAGAATCTGAGCGTCGGTGTAGCCCGTAGCCTTCTCATCACGACCTCGCTTGCAGGAGCTGAAAGTTCGTGAAGCAGCCGTGATGGACAGACAACACCTCCTGGACGCGACTCGGCGTACGTCCTCGGAGCCTGAATTTTGGTGCTGATCGTCTTAGTTACTTCGTTTAACTCGCGTGTGGCTGCTCTCAACAATCTGTACCGGTTACTACTTGTAACAATTCTTGGCCCCCAAGCCTCAGCACCGGCTTGAGGCAGGCATCAGTGAGTTGATGTCGCCTGGAGGCTAGTGTGCGGCGGCATAAGCAGTCAAAGCCCTCGTAGTCCGATTCTGGATTCGCGTTTTGCAGTCGCCCACCGAACAAAAGCTGCACGACAACGTGACTTGTACTGCTCCTGAACTTTGAGGAGAGGGAGGAGGTCTTAAAGGGCGCAGAGAGACTTCTTCGCCGCCGCGAAGTTGAGATAGAAGGCACCTCGGGACAATTTATTCATCTGCATTGGCTTCTTTTGTCTCTGTGCAGCATGAGCCCCCCGTATAGGCCAAGCGATGCGCTGGGCGCAGATGCAGACGCCGCCGACGCCTCGAAACCACGGGGCCTCCGGCCTCGCAGGTACTTGGCCGAGCCCGGCCGCGCCGGTCGAAAGTCCTGTGGAGCGCGGGAGCCTTGGACTCTCTCAATTACTTGCGGATTTCAGTGCAGCCCTTGCAAGGTCCAACACTTGCAGTCACCACTCAAGCGGGCCCTGCCGCGATGCAAAGCAGCGGTGGCAAGTGCCTGTGCTGCGCACAGAACACTAGTTAATATACAAATACAAATATACATAGTGTACACATATCTAAGATTTTCACAGGGGGCCTTCAGGTCAGGGTGTCAGGTTCGCGAGCCATGACGCGGATTTTGCCTCCAGCCCAATAGCGTATCGATGTCCTCTTTGGCATCGGATGCGTTCATTCGACTGTGTGCTTGAGGATCGGAACCGGAACTGTCGAGTCGCTGGACCTGTCGCCGCAAGATGCCTCTCCCGGACAGGTCCCTTGGAAGCCTGCAGCCTCTGGATTCGAAAGTTGATTCCCTGCAGAGAGCACGACGGAACGGCATTCCAGTTTCGCCGAGGAGGCCAAGGGCGAAGGCGTGGAGGCCGCGCCACCGTCCACGAATCTCCCCGGCGAGGCCCGATCTCGCAGGGCATCTCGCGGGACAAAGCATGGCTAAGTATCTTGGAGCTCTCAGGCTGCACCTCTTCAGCAGGAGTTGGACGAGGAGATCGAGGAGATGCTTGCATCCGTGGTCACCATGAAGCCCCAGGTGCACCGAATCTCCTCATTTAAGAGTTTGGCCGCCTCACAGCGTCTTCGTTCGTTGAGACTTATAGGGCATCCTGAAGAGGAGCGGGCCCTCAAGTAGGCATGCTTTCAATGATCGGCAGGCGCAAGCGGAGAGGACGATTGACCCTACAAATGTCAAAGCCTCACAGCCTCAAAACTGGTGCAGAATGCGTATCTGTGACTTTATGTGACCACCAGCGCACTTCTGCACAAGTTAAAACGGATGACATGGGGAAGTGCTGGCCTTTTGCACACGCACTGCGTGACCTCTCAAGAATTTTGTAGGAAAGCAGGGCAATTTTTCCACACTAGACCCCTTTTTGCATCATGAGCTCCGAAGGTCGCTTGGCCGTTGCCGGCGTGTTGGCTGGAGCTGCCTCCATGGCTTGTGCTTCAGCCTTCGTCGGCTCCGCCCCTCACGCTTCAAGCAGCCAATCCTTGCGTGCCAGCGCAGGCTCAGCCAAGACTGCCACGGTTCCGACGGCTGGTGCTTCAGCTTCTGGCCTCGCGGCCGGACTTGTCGGAACCGCTGGTATGGTTCAGATGGCGAAGATGGCAAAGAACCGAAAGCGCACTCGAGTGCCCCGCTTCCAGCAGGCTCCAAGGCAGGCGGCAGTGGCAGAGCGCAAGACGGACCTGTCCGGCGCTTTGCCCGATTGCCCTGCAACAATCTGGAATGCGGAGGACATCGACGTGCAGAACCTGCCGGCCATCAAGCAGACCGCGCCTCTCATCATCGATGCTGCTGAGCTGGGGGATGAGCTCAAGAAGGGAACGGAGAAAGAGTGGTTCCTCTCGCAGCGGGAGAAGATCATGAAGCAGTTGCAAGATCATGGTGCGATTTGGTTCCGGAACTTCGAGTCCACGAAGGATGCTGAAGGCTTCCGGGCCTTCTACGAGGCACTGCAGCTCAACCCGTGCCTTGATCCTATCCACACATCAGGGCTTCGCGCCATGGAGGTCCAGAAGCATGCCGTCTACGAGGCAGTGAACAAGCCTTCACTGGCACAGCACTTTGTTGGTTTACACAACGAGTCGACCTTTGTGAAGACCGCCACCTACGGAGCTTTCGTCTGCTTCGAGCCGGCCTCTGAGGGAGGTAGAGGAGTCTGTTTAAACTTGTAGTTGGAGAGTCCATTGTCAGGTTCACATGTGAGCCAGAATCTAGGTCTACTGTAGGATATCTGCATGCAATTTCATGTATGCATGTATGAATGTCTGCATGTATGTGCCTATTCGCTGTACATGTGATTGTTACATACACACACACACATATATATATATGATATATGTGTGTATGTATGTATGTATGTATGTATGTATGTATGTATGTATGTATGTATAAATATAAATATGCGTGCAGATTCTCACACACACACACATATATATATATATACATATGTGTGTGTTGTTGATTCGTTTATTATGCATTCTTGCATATATGTATATATTATTAATTAATATACATATATCTATATATATATATATATATTATAACTAATCATATGTACATATACATATATATACACATATCTACCTATCTATCTATCTGTATATATATATATATAGCTATAGACATGGCATTCGTTGCCACTCATGTAATGCAGAGGACTAGTAAATGGCCACGATAGTCGCGCAGCCCCGAGGTGGAGAGTTCTTCATTGCAGACGGGGCCAAGATCGTCAACGACCTAGACAAAGATGTCTTAAAGCGGATCTACGAGAACAAGGTGCGAATCTCCGTGAGCAACCTGGACCTCAACTTCCTCAGCGGCCTGCCAGATGGCTTCAGAGAGCAGGCCACTCCTGCGAAAAAGGGCAGCCCAGACATAACACCCAGTGCTCTCCCGCTGATCGTGTGTTTGACTTTACTATGAGTGCGCAACATCGTGTAACTTCACATGCCTTCGCTTCAGGTCTCCGACTATCTGCAGGATTTGATCTTGAAGGTGGTCGCCCCGAAGTTTGAGATGGACTTGGAGATGGTGTTCGGTGCAGACCAGTCCAACCCTTACCGCCTGCAAGCCATCGAGCATGCCCAGTCGCCGATCAACAAGCACCCCGTCACCGGTCAGCCGGTGTGGTTCTGCAACTTGCACAACCACAGCCGATACTTGCGCGACCGACGCCCGTGCACGGTACCGGAGGTGGGAATGACAGACGTGTACAGCGGAGACCTCTCCACAATTCCCTATGACGATGTCCGGCACATCAATGAGGTTTGTGAGCGCAACCTGGTAACCATGCCTATGAAAAAGGGCGATGTTGTCCTCCTGGACAACTACCGCGTGCTGCATGGGCGCAACACTTTCAAGGGTGACCGCAAGCATGCCGTAACTTGGTTCGAGTCTTGTGGTGAGCAGCTGCAGCGTGAGGATTCGAACAAGGACAAACCTGACGACTTCATGAACACTCTCATCAACAAGACTCTAGTCTGATTGCCAACTATGTGGGATCGACTCAGCCCGTAAGCTGACGCGACAGCTTCGCTTCTCCGTTTCAGGGAAACCAGCGCCAAGTGGTTTGCAAACTCCAGCTCAGTCAGCACTAATGTGGTACCATGCTTTATCATTGACATGGACAGATGAAGTTAAACCACTGGGTTCTGGTCATCCTGGCCAGTAGTTTTGTGTTATCCTCGAGGTTCACACTGTATCACCGGTCGTAGTCGACCACCTATGATCCCAGACCTACAGCTCGCACATGCACATGCCCCTGTGCGAAAAGGCTTCCTGCCGCAGCGTCGGGCATTTTCGATTCCGATATATTCTGATGAGGGGTGTTGCTACCAGGCAGTTTTGTTCTACCTACTGGCACTACCTTTCCGTTCTATCACAAGAACCTTAATTACAAGTATGACTTCGTTGACATGCTACGCCTCAAGTTCGCTTTCGAGGTGGCATCCTCCCCGAGACTTCGCAACCAGCCCCGACAGGAGCCGCGAGGCAAGAGTCATGAGTCTTCATGCTTGGGAGGTATGGGGGACTCCTTTTGGGTTTTTGTTTTGTGATCCTGGGGACTCTTTAGATCAAGTATGCTGCTTGCGAGGTCTGGTGACTAGTGAATCTCCCGTACTAGCTGTTACTGACACCGTTCCGCAAATTGTACAGAGAGTGATCGAAATCCTGATTGTGAAAGTCGGCAGTTGCAGCTTCAGAGTACACTGATACTGCTGGAGGCACGATCCGCAAGGATGGGCTCCTTGCACGCCCGACGTGATAGACAACGCCAGGACCAGAATCATGTACAACTCCCCAGGAACCCTCGGGTCGCAACTTTGCCTGTCAAGGGATCAACTCGGCCACCCCGGACACAGTCTCAGGCGCAAAGCAGGAACCGGAAAGGTTTTGGAACACACCCCCAAGGACCTCAGGCTAGGCCCAGGAACCTCAAGACAGGCTTATGGGAGCTGACGCAGGGCCGGCGCCGGCAGCTGAAGAAACAGCGTGCAGCGCTGCTGGCGCCTTGACCAGAGCCATGCATTGCTGGCATCTTCTGGGCCTCGCAGGATAAACGGCTGTTCGGCGAGTGTCTCACAGCTTCTTGCCTTGGACAGTTGAACTTGATGGCAGCACAGGTGGAGCTGGAACGATGGCGCTACTTTGTTGCAAGATGGTGTGAAAGTCGGTATCTGTCGAAGAAGCTGGAGGCTTTGCGCACATGCATCCTAGAACGTAGTGCCATCTGCTTCAAACTCTGGGCAAGGGGTAATTTTCTTGAAATCGGGCCGACATGTCCGCCCATTCTCCACATGCTTTGCCCCCATTAGAAGAAGGAGTTGGACCGTCCAAGTGGAGAAAGCTAACGGGGACCCTCGAGGCCTCGACTGTGCTGGGGCCTCGCCGGCAGAGCGTCCGGCACTTGCAGAGATGAAGAGCAGACTCGACGCTGGTCCAAATAGATTGCTGCTACTGCCGCAATCGTTCAATCATGTCAGGCGAATTCTGTAAATTAGGATCCTTTTTGGGTCCCAAATATAGTACGGCACCCGTATAAATGGGACCTGCAACAGGGACCCTAATTTAGAGAACCACCCATGGGTTTGCAGACCTTCCCCTGTCCTCATACTTTCTGTTTCTGCAAGTTCTCAGGAAGTCTGAAGTGCCGGTGTGAAACTGAACTCCACTGTCCCATGTCACCATATTGTTACTAGGACGCTCGTTTGTCACCTTGGCAGTAGCCCGTCGTCAGTTCGCAGGGCACTGCTCTTCACTGGATGTTGGGTGTCGCTTGTCCGCTTGAGCGAGCTTGCGTACGCTCAGGTATTCTGGAGTTTAAGGCCACTTGCGAAGATGTTCGATCATTCTCGCAACTTGCTCGAGACGCATCCGGCAAGTACGTGCCCTGAAGAGCCAGCCTAGCCCACCGATCAATATCAGAGTCATGAATGCATGTTCTCTGCGTGAGCAAATCATAAACTTAAGATGGAGGATCGACATCAGCAAGTTGGTTTGTTTGCAGTTTCAATGGCATATGATCAGAACCCTCGCCTATGAATGCTCTACGTCTAACGTTGCTGGCATTGGCATTCTTGTGGCGTGCAGAAGCACAGCCTGCATCCCCTGTCTGCTGCCGTGGAGCAGGCTGCTGGTGTGACCTGGCTTTGTATCCTTTTCTGGATGATTTAATGCACGGCTTCGGCTACGACCGCTGCTTGGAGGACGGCCTCTGCGAAGCTTGCGGCGATATTGAGAGGGAGGCTCCACACTGCCAGGCGACTGGGTATCGCCAGCAGGTCGTGTGCTTGCGTTGTCAAGGGGACAGCCTTTACTTGCCATATTGCCAGACGGGCTACAAAATCTTCTGGATTTCAAACGCCAGCTTTGTGAATGCCTCTTCTGCAAGCCCCAGTGCAGGGCTGTTTATGCACAGCTGCTCTGCAGCCTCAAAAGCTTTCCGACACTCCGAGCCGGAAGTCATGGAGGCTTCCGTGACCGAGCCGGAGCCTCGACCGGAGCGTGAACGAGAACGAACGACAGGCCGGCAATATAGTTTACATGAGGACGGCAATGAAGGGCTGGTAGAGGTCCTGTATTTCCTTGGTGCAAATGCACTGGTGCTCATGACCTTTGGCTGGTCTCTTCGCCGACAGCAGCGTCGGCAGCTCGAAAAAACAATGGAAGGCTTGTATTCCTGCGTCGAAGATGGCCTGCCTTCCAGCCGAGCAGTCTCTCCGCAGAGGGACTCACTGCCCAAGCCGAGGGAGCACCGGGACATAAGAAGCCCGTCTCCGGAGTCAGAGGCCCGAGGAATCGGCAGGTCCATTGAATCCCTGGCAGGTGCAGTTGCCAAGTCCGCTGTCGGGTCTCAGAAGATGAAGTAATGCGCATGCCAAAAAAGCTCCCATTGCCACGAGGTCAGAGTCAAATCTCTTCTGTATCTTCTTGGATCCGCTGAAAACACTCGCAGCCAAGGACGAACGCTACGCACTCGTGCTGGAAGGCATCCGAGAAACGCGAGCAGTCGAACGCACGCTCCTGGCCAAGTTGGAAAGTAGATCTGGAGCCTTGCGCTTGTGCTGATCTTATTAGGTCAACATTTCGTTGGTGCGTCAGTGTTCCCAATCAACTCAAGGCTACATCATCTTCGAGACCGCGACACCACTGCGCTGCACTCAGCCTCGCCTACCGTTGCAATGCGGAAGGAGTCTACTTAGAATGCAACGGCTGTTGGAGAATCTTTCTTGTAGCAAGATTGCCGCCAAATCACTATTAATAGGTTAGAGCGACAGCGCCCGCCCCATTTCGAAAGGAGGAACGGTTTGTGGAGCAGGTCGTGTCCACTGCACTTCCTGCAGTTTCAAAGCCTAGGCCGGGCCTGTGCAGACGGAGGGGCTTCTGGAATACCCAAGCATGAGGCAAGTCGGACGTGCGAGACTCGCGCGTGTCAGAGCTTTACGCAAGCACAAACAGAGCCAACAACTCGAACCACGCAGAGTTGTCAAACTGGAGATCTCTGATCAGGCCCTCGACCGCGGCCGCTGAGGTCGTACCTTGGCTGAGGTTCAAAAATCCGCTGCTGTGCATGGCAGTGCTCAGGGCGTTTCGGTGATCCCATAGCGACTATGGAAGAGTCATGTGAGCCAGAGATGCCACTGTAAGGCCGCCCGGAATCTCGTGGAGCGCTGGAGGGCAGAGCGTTTGCCAGGTGCGGTGATCCAAGGATGCTTACAGCAGGGCTTAGGCGGCTTAGGGTTCTTGGCAAGTTTTGGTGTATACTTGATCAGTGAGGGTGCAAGCAAGGGCGGGCTGGGCCATGCGCCCGGGAAGTAGAAGAGGCTTGATGATGAGAATCACAGAGTTTCGTGTTGCAGGCTCGATGTCCAGACGAAGCGGTGCCTCTTCTGCCAGGTATGCAAGGCAAGGGGCGGCAAGGGCAAGGGCTTCTGTTTGCAAGGCTGCTACTCGTAATTAGGCCTTGGGTGGTGCACCCCGAAAACCTTGAAAAGTCTGTGCAGTTCGGCTGTCCCGGCCTGGTCCGCCCACCGGCGTGCTTTGGCAGCAGCAGCTGAGTTCAGGCATAGAGCAAGTCTACTGTTGCGAGCAGGGGCGTCCTTCCCCAAGGTGAAGCACTGACAGCGCGTGACCTGCTCCGGAGGTCGGCGTCTTCAGGATACATTCCAAGATAGCCTGACAAGGGTATATACTGTCGCACGCATGAACATTCAACTGCAGTCTGCGAAGTGCAAGCTGGCACACGACACCAAGGCAAGAGGTGTGGCCGAGAGGACTTTCCGGCACAACCTATGCCGACTACGCCTGAAAGAGGGGCTGCCAGCCTGCACCTGGAGGCCATTTAAAGGCTGCCTCCCTCTGTTCTTAACCGGCTCGCTGTCAATAATCCCTGCACTGCTCAGTCTCTGAAAAGCTTAGAGTTTCGAGGTTCGACCACGTCGTAGTTAAGTGTGTTGGCCAAAGCCGAAACCCCTATCAGATTATCAGACCGTATCCGCAGCATGGGGGGTCCCAAAGTGCAGTCAGACACCGACATGGCACACCCATTAGTGATCCAAGCTTGGATCCAGAGCCTTGAGCTCTGCTTGTCTCCCGGTTTCCCGAAGGGAACAGACACGAGGATTGCGCAAAGGTTTGGCACGACCTGGCAGTCTAGAGTCAGAGTGCTCTGGTTGCAACCTAGCAGGTCTTACTCTTGGGATTGGCATTGCTGCTCTACTTCTCCGTGTTCAATCCTCGTGTGTCGTAGCTCGTTGCTCGAAGCTGCAGTAAGTCTTTCCGCGGCAGAGATCGTCGTATGTCATAGTAATATGTTGCCGTCTTCTTTCGTCCGCAGTCAGCCGGGCACTTGCAGCTGAACCGTTTCTGCAAATCCCAATTCGCGGCAACTTGTGCAAGACGAGTTCGACTTCTTGTGCCATCTGCCCTGGTCGACCGAGAACACTAGATAATAAATGGGTTGGATTGTTTCGAACATTTTCTGTCGCCGACTCCGTCGTGTGCAGCTACAGCGGTATATGTACAGCTGATTCGGGTGCGAAGCCCGGACATGCGCAGCTTTCCAGGCAGAATTCAATTTGGAAACCCGTGCACGCGTGCGCGTGACTGGCAGCGCCAACTGTCAAAAGCTGATGTCAGTGTGATGTCGTGTGGGAAGTCGGAGGCTGCAGAAGAACCCCCTAGTGGAGCCATGTGAGACTATAATCGCGATAACTTTTGTAGAGCCTGACATCCAGTACACGCTTGTCATGCAGTCCCGAACACAGCAGCGCTCTGACCACCAGATGCTCCCGGAGCCCAGGCGAGGGCAGACTGCCAATCTTCGCTATCAAGAGGTGTCTGCCGCTGTGGAGAAGCACTCCGTAATGGGCTGAGGCATCAGCAGGTGGCATGTGTGGCATGTCCCGAAGCTTCCTGGAAACTGTTGACGAGTGAAACCTCGGAAAGACCTTTGGCCAAGGATCCGAAGGCTCGGAGCCTCGGGCGTGCTCACAGATGCAAGTTTTGAAGCCAATGATGCTGTCTGGAGATGGAAACATAGCATCGATGAAATCACTGGAGGGGTGCTCCAGACCATGATGCTGACCCCGCTGCAACAAAATAGTCGCTGCCGAATCGCCAGGAGAGCGTGGCCACTGAGCTAGTCCAGCAGCCAACTGTGGCATGTGCTGGACTCGGTGCACAGGAGACGTCTCTGTCAGTGCAGAGGTCCGACCATGAAAGAAGTTCTTCCACGTCAGAGTATGGCATTTAAGGGCACGACAAGCGATAAGCCCAATGTAGCTTGAAAAGCCAATACCCCGGCATAGTTGCCATAAATTAGGGCGAAAGCAGCGAAAGAGGACAGAGTTGGGAAGCAGCCTGATTTCCAGATCATTGTTAGGCTCTTGACACGGCCGGACTTGCAAGCAGCAAACAGCAGCGTGTAGCAAACGTGCACAAGTCAGCACACACCTTCCTTCAGGTGTGTTCACACTTGAAATGGGAATCGTCAGCCTGGTTCAACATGAGAAAATGTCGTGAGCTCGGACATGAACATGAGCAGCATTATAAGCTTGCATGGCGGAGAGTAAGTTGTTGCTTGGAGCACCGCACAAAAATGAGGTACATTCCCGCGGAGTCGCCTTGTGTGATGATCAAGTGGGCTGGTCTCTCAGACCACAATCACGGCCTTTAGACACATCTGACACTCCCGCCAGCAGCGCGCATGCCCCGAGGACCGTGCCAACTGGTTCTCATGGCATGTTTATCAGCCTGAACATGAACATGTGGAACCAGCAAAGCTCTGCAGACTCTACATGCCAGGCCTTTGTGGCTTAGCTGCGAGGGTCATCAGAAAGGGCCGGATCCTCGATGGTCGCAACTTTGCAGTCTCGGTCTCTTCGCCGAGGGTCAGCGCATTGTCTTGCCATTGCTGCATGCTGCTTGCATGCCAGGATGAAGGAGAAGCCTTCCCTCATGCTGGAGTGGTCGAAAACGCGATCGCTAAGGGATGCGTTGAGGGTCGAGGCCAGAAATGCTGGCAATGCGAGGCTAGCGGCTAGATCCAAGAGGGGTGCCTTGTGCCTGCGCCAGATCATCTCCGATCGAGCGTCGATGAACGCTTTTGACACAGTGTTGGTCCAAGAGCCTCGTCAAGAGTGCATTTGTGCTTGGCGAGCACACATTGAGTTACTATCTGCTGCATAACGATAACTAACTATATGTTCCGCCTCCCTGCCACCAGATCACGAACCACGACACGTCTTTGCCTTTGTCTTCGTCATCACGACCATGCCCTGAGAACTTCCGGCTAGTTTCTACAAGCGCCGCACACTCCCCTCGAGATGGACTTGGAGAGTAGCGGGAAAACTTCCCAGGAATCTTCAATCTGCGTTTGGGCGCCTTAAAATGACAAGGACGTTGCAGCAAAATCAAGATGGCTGATAAATGGTGTCTGTCACAGGAATCCCAAGCGGGTGGGGCCCCCCGCTCTCTCTCTCTCTCTCTCTCTCTCTCTCTCTCTCTTTCTCTCTCTGTTTCTCCTCTCTCTTTCTCTCTCTCTCTCTCTCTCGCCCTCTCTCTCTGTCTGTCTCAGTCTGTCTCCCACTCTCTCTCTC